GTCAGAATTTGTCACAACACAAAATGCATAAATTGGAAATAAAAAAAAAAGTAGATCCTCTCTAGTACTCACCACAAAGTGGTTTTGCGATAAAAAGAGTACCAGAATTGCTATGAATGTTTCCGTCTAAATTGCTTTCTCGGCTGCTGTTCGCCATAAAAAAGAATAGTTTTAAAAAAAAAACCGTTTCTTATCAGTAAAAGAGATCCACTTATTATCAGTAAATTGATTTAAGGTCATACTGTCAGTGTACCCAGTGTTGAAAATTATTGGGCTTCTGGAGACCGAATGTGTTTATTGGTTCAAACGCCTCGACGGCACCGTGCTTGCGCAGATTTATCCCAAATTTGTTTTGAACGGAAGGACGCTCGTCTTAAAGTTCGAGTAGGATTTTTACGAAAATTCGTTCGTTCATGAATTCCTTGTGTTGTTTTGGTTACAAGCGACACTCTTTAAGGAATTAAACAGACATCAACATCTACCTACAAAGAGAGCATTGCATGGACGAATGCGATATAACCCACACGACTAGTTTTATTTCGTCATGACGGCGTATGATTAGTTTTATTTCGTTCTTTGACATCATGCCTGAATTTCGTAGTTCAGTGCCAAAAACACGTAGGCACTCCGACAGATGCACGGAACCAAAAACGAAATTAACTTGCTTTAGCAGTGCAAAAATGCGTAATTTAATGAGGAAAAATTGACTCTTCACTCTTTTAGTCTTAGTGCAAGCCAAAGTTAGATCAGATTTTAGCATATGTTAAGAAATTTTGAAATTGCAGGACGATGCAACTGGATGCGCAGATGAGGGCAGTAATTTTGGGAACAGCGCTAATGCTCGTTTTGCATGAGGTGTACCCCGACATTCGAAATGCTCTGGCCGCTTCACTTCTCAGGATTGAACCTGATGAAACACTGCATAGTACTTTAGGCCTGGCATAGTGCTCTTGCAGATAACATTTGAGCATCGGCAAGGCTAGAATGTTTGAAACGCAGTTTTTCGTGGTTTTTTTGAGATCAAGGATGGCAATCAAAGTGCACTTCCGGGAAGAAACGTACTGCAACTCTTTTTTATTTTATATTATTCAACAGTCAAGCGATGAATGATTGCTAACAGCAAAAGAAAACTCGTAGATTACAGAAGTAAAGAAGTTATATCGATATTTTTAAAAAAGCTGAGATTCAAAATATATTGCTTAGAAAGAACAGTCGTTCTTCCGCCCGTTTCTCTTTTCTCCTTTTGACAAGTTTTTAGCAAAGAAAAGTCCTACGTTGGAGAAGTTATCAACCAAAAACGTGGCAATGGAGAAACGGACAGTAAAAATACATAATTTTGCGCTGAGTAGGCAGAATAGTAAATCTGTTTGCGCATGGTTTCATAGCCAACCACGCTGGCAAGGTCCTAGCACTCTGGCACTAGACTGTGGTGCTGCAGTCTGTCTACCTGCAAGCTTTGACAAAGTTTTTATGCAGGGCTATTCAGTAAGTAAGGTGCACTGAAATTTAATTTAGTGAAGGATTTAAGATTTGTTGTTTTGAGAACAGGAGAAGCATCTTCAGAATTACCTCGAATCTGATATTTTAGCAACAGTTGAGTTGAATATTAAGCCATAACTGAGCGTTTTTTTTTTTTTTTTTAAATGCATTGCTGTGCCTTTGATGTTACTTCAACTATGTGCAACAAATGTGGAGCCCTTTTTAGAACCCCGTGAATGCATTAGCGCTAAGCAAAATATAAATCGACGTGAAGCACAAACGAATGAGTCCCCTTTCCCCCGAAGAAGCACATAACAGATCAAAGGC